CGGCGGACCCCCCCGCGGCCCCGCCGCTGCCGCAGAGCCGGGGCGTGACGCGGGGCCCCCCTGTCTGCCGCCTGCTTGCCTCTTGCTTTTGAGGCATCCCGCGAGCCGCTTTCGCAGCCCCGCCGCAGGCGCGTCGCGGCACCGCGCGGGGCACAGACGTGCGGAGCGCTCCGTGAGCTCCTGCCGGCGCACGTGCCTCCGGGGCCTGCCTGTGCCTCCGTCACCCACGTGCCGGGCTCGGACCTCTTCTGCGCTGGGGGAGGCTGCCCTCGCAGGCGCGGGTTCAAGGGGTGGGGGAAGGTTTCCTTTACCCCTTCCACTGCCAGGCTCCCACCTCAGCGGGAAAGAGGCTTGGATCGCGGGCGCAGCCCCCGCCCCTGAACCCGAGGAGCCCCTTCTTCGACGGCGCTCGACGCCAGGATCTGGGGAGAGAATCCTTGCTCCCAGCCCGCCCTGCTCTCACCCCAGCCCCGGCGCTGGGGCCTCTGCTCCAACCACTGACCCTCCCAGAGGTGGGGCCTGGGGGAGCCTTTTCTGCCGCGAGCCGCGGCGCGGGGTGGGCAGCGCCGGGCGCGGCTGGGAGGGCTCCTTTGCCCAGACGCCCCTGCCTGGTGGAGCCGGTGCCTGGACTGCCAGGCTAGGTAGGACCCACAGCCAGGATCGGCAGACCTGGGAGCAGAAGAGCCCACCCCGCAGGGCCCCGGACACTCGGATCTCTCCCTGCCGTGGGAGGGAAGGGGGCTGAGGGTTCAGAGCAGGGGTGCAGGGAGCCCGGACAACCGGGTTCTCCAGAGGGGAGTCGGGTCTGGGGGCAGGGGGGTTACAGCCCACACGCCTGGGTCCTCCTCGGCCCCTGGCGCTAGTGCGTGAGGCAAGGCTCTGGCACAGCAGGGGGGTGGGGGGTGCTAAGATCTCAGTGGCACAAGTGGAAGTGGTGATGGCTGCGGCTGGCAGCCAAAGGGGTGGGCACTGGGGGATGGGGCTGCTTCCTGGCCCCCCGGGCAGACCTGCAGGTTCCCCCTGGCTGGGGTGCTGGGCTGCAGGGGGCAGAGTTGGGGGGCTCGAGGGGGCGCTGTGCAGTGGCCAATGGGGGCCACTAAGGGGCATTAGACATGTTGCAATATTTCTGGTCTGGGGGGAAACTAGGGGGCACTGAGCTGGGCATGGGGGAGCAGGGTGCGGGGCTCAGGCAAGGTCCCTGACCCCTGCCCTGGTGCTGCCCTCAGCTGGGTCCTTGGCTGCTGCACTCGTCCCTGCCCTGATGGCCTCCCGCCACTGGAAGTTCATGGCCATAGTCCTGCTGACCGTCCTCGGCCTGCTGGGCAGTGAGCTGGGTGCCCAGACCCCTGGGTTCCCTCTGGCTCTGCAGTCTGGGGGCTTAGAGCAGGGGGGTTCTGGGAGCCTGGATGCCCGGGTTCTCACCTGGACCTGCGACTGGGACACCTGGGTTCTCCCTTGCACCTAATTCCCATGAGAATTAGACTCTGATTGGAGGCGACCGGAGAATTAGGGCTCCTGGCTTGCTTGGGGGGAGGTTGTCCCTTGTCACCCCCCAGTCAGGCTGGCTCCAGGCCATGACCCCCAGCTGCTCTGCTCCTTGCCAGGCGCTGGCCTTGGGGACTGGGTTGTGACCCTGCCGCAAGACTCTGTGTTGGGTCAGGAGGGCTCCTGCGTGACCCTCAACTGCAGCTACAACATCTCTGGAGGGAAGATCGGGGCCATGTGGTGGGAGCAGAATGGATCCATCATTGCACAACACTCAGACGAGGCTTCAAAAACCAGACTTAGTCCTTCAGCAAGCAACCAGGCAACTGCTCTCTGCGGCTCATGGGGCTGTGCCCAGGGGATCAGGGCACCTACCAGGCCTGCATTTGGCAGGAGAAAGACCACAATACTGAACAGTGGTGCAGCTATGGAGCCGTGCGGCTCCATTTGACAGGTAAGCAGGTCCCGTCTGTCCCTTTGGCCGCATCCGCGAGGACAGGACAGCCCCAGAATTCAGCCCTGACCATCTGGGAGGGCAGCAGGGATCCCAGCTGCTTGGGGTCTCTCGGGGAGTGGGAGACCTGGGTTCAGCCTGGCTCATGGGCATCTCTCCTCCCAGCCCACCCATGCAGGCCCACCCTGGGGACAGGTTTAGGACCAGGGACCTTCCTCTCCTGCTCTGTGCAGCCCGACTGCCAGGGATCCCTGGCCTAGGACAGGCAGAGGATCCAGGGGCAGAGCCAGCATGGGACGAGGCAGAACTCACCCTCGGTGCCCGCGTCTTGGCTGGGCCCCAACACGGTGCTGAGCTGCCGGGTGCTCAGGCACGGAGACCAGTGTAAACCTGAGGAGAACCAGCCCCCGCAGCCAGGTGAGCTCTGCTCAGAGGTCTCCCAGCCATGAATCCTGGATGCCTGGACTCTTTCTCCACTCGGGGGGTGAGTGCAGAGGGACCCGAGAGCCCCGACGCCTGGGTTCCCTGGGAAGGCAGTGGTGTTGGGGGGGTAGAGCAGGTCCCCTTTGCTCTGCCTCGGCTCCAGCACCCAGCCCTGACCCCACCCTTGGCCTCCCCCTGCCAGGAGAACTGTGGGTCAGAATCCAGCAACTGGAGGGGACACACTGGTGCTGGAAGGCGAGTCCTTTGCCCTGCACTGTGCGGGTCGCCCCTGGGTGCCCACGGCCAGGTACCTCTGGTCCCGCGGGGAAGAATGGCTGCCGGAAACCAGGCATGATTTGTGCATCTTTGGCACTGGTGTTGCTCACGGAGGCATCTACACCTGCAGTGTCTGGGTCTCTGGTCCCGGCTGGGGGCTCCTGGTCTCCTCTGACAACAAATCCATCATGGTTCAGTGCAAGTGCCGGGACCTCCCTCCCAATTGCACCCTGTACAGAGTGAGCACCCCCAAGGGCTTGATGGGGCCTTAAAGGGGCCGGACATGAAGTCCAACACCCCTGGTGCGCCCCCTGCTCCCTTGGAAACCCCACCCTGGGGTTTCCCAGCCCAGCAGCTTTAGGTCCATCCAGGCCTGAACCCTGGGCACCTGAAAGCTCCCCATTCCCCCTCCATCCTTTCCCACTCCCACATCTTCATCTCTTCCCCATCACCCAGGGGGGTGTCCAGGGGTCCCACTGGTGCCATGGGTTTGAGCCCCCCCCCAGCTGACCCTGGCCACCCTCAGTCCCCACCAGGGGTCTGAGTGCAAGCAGCATTGCCGGAGCCATTGTTGGGCCCCTTCTCCTCCTGGCCAGCGCAGGGGCCGGGTACTGGCTCAGAAGGCGCCAGCAGGGTAAGTCATGGTCATGGGATGGTTGCAGGGTTGGGACCCCGACTGGCCCCACACTGCCCCCTTCCACCCCCACAGGCACCCCCGGCTGGTCCCACACTGCCCCCTTCCACCCCCACAGGCACCAGCGACTGTGGCCCCCCAGAACTGGAGCCCAACTAAAAGGTGAGGATGGGGGTCTTGGCACCCTGGGACCCCACTGCTGGCACCACCAGGACCCAGGGCTCTCAGCAGCTGACACCATCCCAGCCCCTGTAGCGCACCCCACACGGGTGACTCACAGCATCTCTCTCTCTCTCTCTCTGCTCTGACGGGGTCGTCGCACCTGAGCCAGGATATTTATGCCATGTTGGAGGGTCCAGAAGAGGGTCCCCAATGCATGAGCACCACTGGTCCTTAAGCTAATGAAGAATAAATGAGTGTTTCCAGCTAATGCAGAACAAATGAGTGTTTCTGTCCCTGTCCCCCCCCAGCCCCCCCTGCTCTAGCTGGAAGCAAAGGGCACCCCTCGCAGCCTCTTTTTCAGAGGGTTGTCAGGGAGGCGTCAAGAAGATGAAACAACGGCGGGGAACGGGGGGTTACCAATGGGGAACTTAAATGTCTACCAATGCCTGTACACATTGCAAGTCGTCCATGTACATGTTA